TTTTGAACAAGGGAACCTTCCCTACCTATCAGAAAGTAGTTCTTCCTATCAGGATACTTAAATATCAAGTATTTAATGCATCCAGAAATGCACAAAACACCTCTATGTTTTACTTTGAGCCAAGACTTGTCACCACAATCTCAAGACTGTCTTTCCTTCCTCCTTCCCCTGCACAGCCTCATTTCTTAGCTTTGCTCAATCCACATAAGACATCTCTAATAACCATACTGATAGCCAAGTTATATTTGTGGCACAAGAAAAGAAAATCTGCTTTTTTTTGTACTGCTCCTTAAAATTTCATATTAAAGGTATGACATGCTCCTGTGACCAACAGACAAGAGCTTCAGAGAGCCAACTCCAGCAATTTCATACATCTGCTCTCAGGCTAACACATTGCCACAACAGTCATGCAAACCTGCCTGTCTCCTCAGCAATGTCATTCTTTTATGCCTATTTTTCTCTCCCTCATCACACCCTCTTGAAACAAGCTGGCAACTCCAACCATAGGCATTTCGCTACAGAAAATTGTTTTATTCTATGCTTCTCCTCTACTTACGTGTCAAATAAATTTACAAGCAGATGGGGGAAAAGCTAACCAACAGATCCAAATAAGTATCCTCATGTTTTTGCAAATACTAAGTGGTCCATTGATTTGAAAAGCTATGTTTTTTTGTTTTATACTGTATTTTAAATATGTCCCACTGCATGTTTTCAAGCAAGTCTTTGAATTCTTAAAAATTATATATTTAATACAAAAACTATGATTTTATTAACACTCTATCCCACACAACACCTTCTACATACCCATACAGAATCATTACTCAGAAGCACAGCATCAAAATTAGCTCCTTCCTTAAAGAAAACACTAGGTGTAATCATTCTATGGGCATACACATAAAAACATCAGTGTAAAGTCAAAAAGGTATGCTAGTCCATGAAGTTAACTACATAAAATAATCTTCTTCTACAACTCTGTTTTTAACATGTGAATTTGAGGAAAAGTGTGAAGAAAAGGCAGGAAAATATTGGAATTATACTAACCAAGTTTCTGAGGCTTTGCCTCATGCATTCACACAGCTAGTCTGCTCCCATTGTTTTAATGGACACAGAACCAGATACCTTTCCATCAGATCATCCCACATCTTCTGCAAGTCAGGATAAAGCACAAGACATCACTACCAGAAGTAATTTTTGTTGCCAGGAGCCAGGAAAAAAAATTAAAACCAAACAACTTGTCCCACAAGCTATTTCAGTCTGATAGAATACAACCATGGCTTCATCACCACAGTAACAATTTTGCACACTTTCCCTAGAACGAGCAACAGAAAGGAATCACTTTCCAGCACTTCTTGGGCACTGACAGCCTGTGATTCCCCACACACCAGAGGCTTGCAAAGAGTCACATGTATTGTAAATATTTCAAAAGCTAAGTTGATAGGATTTTCTTTTAAATTTGTTGAAATTTTACAATGTTGCATTTTGACAAATCTAGCAAGAAACTTTATTTGGAAGAGTTGAAGCACCATTTCCCTAACTAGGTATTTCCAAGAAAATAACAATCATTTAATCTTCCTTGCTGGGTTTGAGAGTCTTTGAATCCTTGGCTTGACTTACTATCATTCCATATCATGCCTCTTCTCATATATAGACTTCTAAATATGCTGTCCTCAACTAAAGCAGTAAGCAGCATAAAAAGCTAAAATCATTATTTTAAAGATACATATATAAGCATTTAACTCATTTATGTAATAAAAATAAAGGACCCCTTTCATGAGTGCACCACGGGCAGTAGATGGCTTAGTTGTCTGGTTTTCCCTTGCATGTTCCAATTCCATTTTTTCTCCCCACCATTGTCACTACTGCTGTTCTTCCCCTTCTTTTTAGCTGTCAGTAGATAAAACTCCAGCAGAATTTAGCTTGAAGCTGACCCTGATTCCATTTAGTACTTTGCTGCATCCATACAGACCCTTCCTTGGCTGTGAGGAACAGAGACAGACCCTTGGTGTGTTCCACGTGCAGGAGGAAGATGAGCCATCTGGAAAGCAGCTCATTCCCAGGGCTTGGTGTGAGCTGTGGAACTGTCTATGGATACAGGGCAACATGCTCATGTAAGTACCCTGTAACAACTGTAGAAAAATAAACATGTCAACACCTGCATCCCTCTCAATCCATCACCTCTGGGGTTACAGAATGAAGCCTCACAGTGAAAAGTAAGTACATGGAGGTGGTCCCACATTAAATAATGAAAACTATTTTAAGGCCATTAAAAACTACCATTTGTTATCTGCCCTCTGCCTTTCTCAGTGGTAAGAATATCAGTATTTGACCACTACACAATAGTATACAAGACTGCAAATCCACTGGGACTGGATTCAAACAGGGAAATTTCAGCAGGTACCTTTCACTGCATGGTGCAGCATTAAATGGTGCAGCTGGGCCAATGCTTGCAAATAGGCATGGACAGTCCCTCACTGCTTAATAACATGGTGCTATGACTGCCAAAGAAATAAAATCTAAATGCTCTGAAGAGTTTTGTAAACTTTCTATGATCTAGTTATCCCTGTACATACAAGCAGAAATAAAACTCCCAGTGAAGCACAAAATCTCTGTAAAAATAACTTGTATTTAGTTTGGTAATACTTACAAGCCTCAGTCACCTCTGAAGAGACACTGAATTCAGACTGTAAAGTTTACAGTCATTCTTAAAAGGAGAAAGAAAAACATTGACCAGAAATGGGGAAGAGAGTGAGATTAAATGCACACTACCGGGCAGAAAACATAAGCTATTTAGTTGTCAGCTACTCTAAACCTGTCCAGACTTTGAATACTAAATTTAAGACTGAATTAAGGTGATTTTAATTTAAGAATTAGAATTTAAGGTGATTACCACCTCATTCTATATCACACAGAAGACTATAGTCTTGCAATCCTCTACTAAGAGAAGAAAGAAAATTAAATTTTTTTTAACTTCTGAGAGAGGTGGGGTTGCTCAGCCTGGAGAAGGCTCTGTGCAGACCTTAAGTTACCTTCCAGTACCTAAATGGGCCTGCAAGAAAGCTGGAGACAGACATTTTGCAAGAGTATGTAGGGACAGGACGAGGGATGAAGGCTTTAAATTGAAAGGGAGCAGGTTTAGATTAGCTGTCAGGAAGAAATTGTCTACTGTGAGGGTGGTGAGGCACTGAAATAGGCTGTCCAGAGAAGCTGTGGATGCCCCATCCCTGGAAGTGTTCACAGTCAGGTTGGATGGAGCTTTGAGCACCCTGGGCTAGAGAAAGGTGTCCCTGGCCATGGCAAGGGGCTGGGAATAAGATCATCTTTAAGGTCCCTTCCAACCCAAACTGTCCTGCAATTTCACTCAACTGGAAATGAAATCCCATCACAACAAATCAGGCCTGATATGACAGATTTCAATGTTTTAAGAACAAAATTTAAAATCAGAAGAAGAAACCCCACACATCTAGACAGAAAATATGCTGCATTTCTGTTGCCATTTTTTCAAAAAAACAACCTATTCTGAACCTACAAAATATTCCAGAGTAGAAAAGGTATCTGTTTTTCTATTTTCTAATACATTATGTTTGAATTCAGTAAAATTAATAATACTGATTTTATGCACAAAATTTATGCCACTATGGTTTCAACTGGTTCATATCCTTATGAGGCCAAATAAAACAAAGCCAGAAGAGTTGAGCTCTGGGAAAAGTTTCAATTAAATTCCTTGGAGATAAAAGCAAATTTATATTCTTAAAATTGTTCAAGTCCATGGAAAGAACATGACAAATTCCACAGACATCCTCATAGATTTAAAAAACAAAACAAGAAAAACAGCCAAAATCCACAACCCTGAGTGGAAGTGTACCCAAAGCAGACACTGCTCCAAAGCCCACAGAGATGCTGTTTGAGAAAACTGAGCAGATTTACATCATATACAAGAATTTCCCCTACACTGCCACTTCTCACTTTAATCTAGTGACCAGACTTATGAAGCATCCTTTTGTCCCTGCTACCAGTTAGTTCCCGTATGTCCTTGACATCTCTACAGGACATGATTCATGCTTGTCTAACATTTACTGAAGGACAGTGTTGGTAGAAAACAATCCTTGATCAATCGTCAGTCAAAGCTATAGAAGTCTCTTACAAATTTTTTGCTGCCTTTGACTCTCCTCTTGCCATAACAAAAAGTACATATGCAACCAAAGCCATGCTTAAACACAGCAAACCAAAGCAAACACTTCACTCAGGAAATTGTAAGAAGCCCCTGGCATAGGAACTGCCATTCTCCCCAACACACTGGCCAGCCCTAAGTCTATTACAGAGTTTTCTAAACTGAAGTGGCACTGCCACCTTAAGACATGAGGCCAGCATTACAATTTTCACTATACGAGAGTAGTAAAGAAGAAAATCGTTTTTAATTACCTTTACTTTCTGAATTTTTAAAAAAATCTGTATTCATATTAGAAAAAATTAAAAGTGCACAACTGATTAATTGCTTTAAGTCACTTAGCATGTTATTAATACTCTTCTCAATTAAGTGGCAATTTAACTATGCAACCTAGCTTAGGCTGAGCATTTTAACATTCAGTAAAAGGCATCACTGTGAATCAAAGTTCTCCATTCTGCCCACAGCCAGCACAAAAATGCACTGCATTTTGTAGCCCTTAATTTTCAGCAACAGTGATAATACTTTTGGCAACTAGCCACAGCTACTATGACATTTATGAGAGGACTTTTAAATACATACACTCAAAAAATTTGATGAGATCACAGTACAGTGATATCACAGTTAGAATATTAATTGAGGTAAAAGTCTTGTCAACTATCACAAACTCGGAATAATTTAAAGGACCCAGACCATTCTCTTATTTTATCTACGAATATAGCACTCCACTATTGTGTAGATGACATTCAAACTAAAAAGATTCTTCATCTTTGGACAAGATATAAATTAACTTTTAAAAACTACTTCCACATGATGATACTGGAAAGAGCCCTCTTACCCTTTGTAGAATACGCTTCAGCAATCATCCGCAGCCGATACGGTGCCACTGCAGTCAGCTGCAAGTCATCGACACCAACTCTAGCATATGTGTTCAGAGCTTCTTTGTAATCACCTTCCACATAGTTTAATTTGGCCATTATTAGGTTGGCTTCTTGTAGGAATTCTGGCTAGAAGGAAGAGAAATAAGAAAGGGTTTTCCCTAAGAAAACACATCTAATTCCTTCTGATAATTATTAGGTATGTTTTCTGTCACCCCCCGAATATTTCTTCTAACAGAGCAACAAATGAACAAAATCCTGTCTTGTGTAATATTTGAGAAGCTTGAAGTAGGGGGGAATTCACTAAATCTCATTCCAGCAAGCTACTGAAAAGCATTGTACCAGCCATTTTAGATATTCACATGCGTATTTACACTGGTACCAGAAATACCTCTCAGTTGGAAACCAGCTTTTCCAGGTGATAAAACTATTTAAAGGCAGCCTATCATTACAGCTCCTCATATGACTTCTTTTTCTAACACAAGCACAGTTGAAAATAACATAGCATCAAAACTTAATGATATATGTTCCACAGCCTACATATTTAATTCACATCATTTCAAAGTATCAGGGCAGAATAAATGTCTTGAAAAAAAGAATTAATGGAGGAATGAAGAGAATTAATGGAGGAATGAAGAGAGAAAAGAAAGAGAAATTAATACTCCCAGAAGCCACTGAAAACAAAATGTTACAGATGAGTGTACACGAAGCTTCTTTTGATCTCTGAAAAGATGGATGTTGAGTACAGTAAAGGTAAGCTGACATAGTAGCTACAACAACAGTTAAGTAAAACAAGGACCAGAATGGTTATGAACATTAGAAGATTCTGACAGAAAATGCTCTCTTGTATTAATCTCACTTTCAGAATTTGCAAATATAATTTAAGGAACCTTTTCTCAATACTTCAATCAATGCCAATTTTTCTAATTCTTGCTCAGGCCGACTTACATACCTTGAGATTACCCCTATCAAGTGCTGCCGTGAGATGTTTCCTGACCTCGGTCAGCTTTGGCTGGGGGCCCCGGGGACTGTTACTGTGTTTGAGAGTATTTTCCTTCAAATATTGTTCGAGTTTGGATTCCCCAAGAAGAAGCTCTGCCATGTCATCTGTAAAAACAACAAACACAGGAAGTATTAGAAATAATTTTATTTCACTAACATTGCCTGGATTTAAACACAAACTAACCAAAGCAAACACAACATTAAGTATTTGGGTTTATCACGTCACATGATATTTTGTTTTACTTTTCAATTTATCTTTTCCCTGCCTGATTCACTGTAGAATCAAGTCTCCTGTGTTCTAAGATAAAAAGAATTAAAACATTAACCTCAAGTCAGTATTCTCCCCTTCCTCCTCAAAAAAGCAGACAACTGATTCTGTACAGCAATTCAAAGCAGGTTTGTTTGGTTCAAGTAGTTTAATATGGGCTGTGTGAAAGGCTCTCAGAGATCAGAGGCCCACTCCAAACTTACAAAACTGAACTTCAGTTCACTGTATGCAGTTAATTGCCTTTCAAAGAGTCAATCACTGGTGGGTCCTTTCAGGACAGGTATTTTACTCATAATATTCAGAAGACTTCAGAGTCTTGTTCTGAGTAAACAATTTTTGTTTATGAGTCCCTTTAAAAAGGAGATTAACAAACAGGAGTGAAACTTGAACAAAATACTTTAGGTCAGCATGGTAATGTCCCACTTGGGAGAAGAACAATGAAGATTAATTTTGTTAATTGGCAACAAAATTGCAGTGGCAACTTTTTAAAAGGGTGAAAATATGTCAAACTAGTTACTTTATGTTTTAAGGGATTTGCAAGTTGATACTTTCTCTCTGATCTGTACTTATGGAAACCAAAGTATTTCACTTAACAAGTAACACTTCTCTTTCCTTTTACCCAGTTTAATGCTTCACTGAGCAAGCTCCATTTCCAAAGATGGTCGAGGAAACAAGATTGTCAAACATAGCAAGGAATCTAAATGACACTCTAAAACAAGTGCTTTGGTTCAGGAGCTGAAATACCACCAAGGCTGTTTACACTGGAAAGAGTGAGGTCTATCACTGACATTCTTTAACACTTCAAATAGCAGAACTTCAGAAGTGCCAAAGAAGAAAGTATCACATGTACATTTCATTCTCACATGCAACCCTTCAAGAAGGTCCTAAAAACTGCTCTGGTCCACACTCCTGTAACAAGCATTTCTTTACTGAAGTTAAATACAGTAGATCTGTCTCTGTGGAGAAAGAGGTAAGAACAACTGTACTGGTGAGCTAAGAACAGCACCAGCTGCCAGGCATGTTTTGTTTATATAAACTGAAAAATGTCAAGGAGGCATGTGAAACAACTAGTTTGGATTCTTATGACACATGAGCCAAAGAACAGGTCAGGCACCAAATAAAAAGAAAATAAACTTCTCACTCCTAGGTATGAAAATGCATACCTTGAGGCATGAGGATTTCTAAAACAAGGTGCTGAAATCATCTCTACTAGTAATGGGGAAAAGTAACCAAACAACAGCACTGGCACATGCAAGAGCAAAGTGTAGCCATATCAGCTACACCACAGAAAGAGGAAGAGCATCTTCTCACCCATTTGTGGGGCCACAATAGAACAAGACAGTGCTAGACATAAATCTAGCACTCTACAGAAAGTTTGTAAGATTATTCCTCTCTTACACATTGCAGAATTTCTCACAGTGGGGAAAGGAAGAGGAGAGAAACAAGAAGCCACCTCTGGAAAATTTAATGTATCCTCTCTCTCCTTTTCCTCTCTCATCCTCCCACCTTGACCCTAAGATAAGCTTCACCTCCCTGATATGAACTTGAAAACTTTAGAAATTTAATGTTTCTAAAGACAGGACACAAGCAAGAACAAAGCCTTAAGTTCAAACTGGCACATATCCTAAAACTATCCTGGCACCTTAAGAGGGGAATCAAAGCAGTCTATAGGAGCCAGGTATTTTGTTCCCATCCTTGATGCCCCTCAGAGCAGCTAATGATCCACACAGAGCTAGAAACAGTCACAGTGCAGTGACATGCAGTGCCCATACTTTCCTTCAAAGGAAACGTGGGAGAGGAGAAAACAGCAGCTGCAACTTACACCCAGATCTGAGCAGCAAAACAAAAGCTGCTCTTCCAGGTCACTCATACCTAGCACAGCTCAGCCCTTCCCTGTAGAACTGCTGCAGATCATGAGAGACAGAGGCAGAGGTACTGTCAGACTGGCTTTCACAGCAGAGGTGCTGTTCTGGGGCACCTGCTGATGACTAACACTTGAAAACAGCAGGTCACAGACTGCAAACCATAAAAGCCACTGCAAAGCAGAATTTTCTTATTTACTGAGTCTCTCATCTGCTAAGTCAGTCAATCAGGGCCAGATATTGGCAACAAACTTTTAAATCAATTTATTATTGAGTGAATACTTTATTAACAAAGCATTAGCTTTATGCGTCAACCATTCTGTGCCAGTAAGAATGACATTCAATGGTGCTTGTAACAAAATTCCAATTACATGGACATTTCTGAAGGAAACCATTTATGAAGCCATAGATCTAGCAGAGTCTTCCATTAGTTATAGCTATCCCTTAAGACATCCTGAAATAACCTAAGAACTGTTTGAGAAGAAATTGCTTTTCTTTTTCTTCCATCACAGTATGAGTGATCTAGATTATATTCTTCTATTAGACACTTTATAGAGACAGAATTAAACTGTGTAAAGTTGATAACGTGAAGTTTAGTGTTCCGTCAGCCAGTTTAAACAGATGTTTCAGAAGAAAAACTGTTCAAAAACAGTTTCAATACCATGAAATCCAGTATCCCACTTTCAGAAAATTCACACAGTTATGGCTTAGTATAAAATTCATGATTAAAGGAAAGATTCCCTCTTATTCACCTATTTCTCTGCTGAAGAATTCATCAACTACAATTACTTAGCAGATTAAGGGGTTATTTGTTGACTTACATCACAACTGCACCGCAAAACCATTTTGGACAAGAACAGCCTAACCTGCCCATCTGCTTCTGCAGCATCACAGCATCACTGAAACAATCTCCTGACTAATAGGATGTCCTCTGCCTGTAATCAAAGACAACTCCAAGCACCTTGGAACTCCATGACAAACTCAAGGATGCTTTAGGTGAAAGGCCCATTTCTCTTAGCATGTAAAGCAAAAATAAAATATGGACATTTCATGTAAACTGCTTTCTTTCAGCTTAGAGAAAGCTTAGACATTTGTACAAAATGGCTTGAGAAGAGCCTTGTGTACACATGGCTGTCCCTCTGTGCAATATGGATCAATATGAATCATCTTCAAAATAAGAATACAGGCTGGCATAAATAGGGAATAGGAAAAAGCACACAACGATGTGCCTTTGTAAAATAGTCTCTAAAAATATCATCATAAAACCACTTTGCTACTTTATTTTTAATATCTGCTTTTTGAAGCAAATTCTTCACCACAGTATCAGAATCTGAAGCAGTGACAGAAAAACAGAATTAAAATAAAGGATTAGTCTTCTTTTATCCTTGGTCAAGAATGATGAAGATTACTTATAATACTAATATTTACTTAGGTTAAAACCATGGTCTATCTTGAAACATTCACTGAATCACATTCATCTTTCTGATGAATGCTACCACAACCTCCAGGCACTTGTTGAAGAACCCAGGGGTTGTTAGCAGGCTAGGTGAGAGGAATATCTAGCTCTGAATTCCTTTCTAAAAGTAAGGTTAGCGAGAAGGAGAGAGAAAGAAAAGAATGGTAACATTGCATACAATTACAAAAAAAAAAAAAAAAAAAAAAAAAAAACCACAAAACAAAACAAAACAAAAACACAAAAAAACCCACATAGCTGAATACAGATTAGGAGCTCTCTCTTACCTTCAGAATTCACTCCAAGAAGTGACTTTAAAAGTTTATTCAATTCCAGAGCACACCAAGATACATTATAGTGAATGATGATGTGGTCTCAATAGAACTATTGAACCTCTGGCTACCTGTTGTTTTGTGGAGCACAAGTAACTGTTCTGGTGAAGTATTACTTTTCCTGTGGTGGTTCAGATAAAAACCAAAGCAAAACACTGAGGTTTGTCCAGACCATGACTACTATATATGTGGTTTCTCATATTAATGCAGAAAAACTTTTAAGGGTCTGATAATTACTTTTTTCAGAAGGAAATACTTGGAAGGTAAAAGGGAAACACACCTCTTGGATAACAACAGCTATCACAACTATGGCAACAACTATCAACAACCCTGCTCCTGTTATCAAGTCCCCATGCACCAGATGTTTCTCTGCAATTAAACACCCATATCATGCTGCTGTGGAACACTGGCAAGAATACACATGATCCCGTGCTATCAATACTTAATGTTATTTATGGAACCTCCCTCAACAGCTCAACATCTACAGCAAGAAAGACTAGGCAGAAAAGCACCCCTTCTTCCTTATATGCCAAATGGCATAGATTTAAATAAATATTTTTAGTATTTCATTTCCCTTTCCTCTGAATTACACAGCTGCAAGAAAAATAGTGCATAATTAGGATAAAATCTCCTACCACAATGATTTAAGCAAAGAGGCTCAACCTCAGACTCATGTCCTGGGGATCTGAATTTGAATAGGATACATTTAGGAATAAGAAATACAGAGCAAAATACCTACAGAATCTGACTGGTCAAACAAACTTTATCTTTCCTTGTAAGCAAGCAAATAAATCTAGAAAAACCTTACATCCCATGCTGTATTATTTCACCCACTCATCACCAAAATCTTAAATATTTCAGGTAACATATTTTAGACTCTTAAAAAGCCCAACTGTCCAAATGCACTGAAGTTTAAAGGTCATGGTTATCATTAGTCTCAAATGAAGACTGCATCAGGTGAGATTAACTAGATGAAGCATGGAGCTGTAAGAATAGAAGATGCTGCTGCTTCAACTGCTCTGTCCTGGAGCCCAGAAAGAAAAAAAAAAAGATGAAAAACTGAACTCCTAACTCAGGACTATTTTTTAAAAAGGTAAAATGAAAAAAACAAAAAAATCAGGGTAGGAAAGGGACAAGGGATAAAGAGGACAAGTATGAAATTTCCAGGATCCCAAAGGGACCATACATTG